AAAAATATTGTATCAAATTAAACAAATAAAATCCATGTTGTATTATTTTCAACGTATACGTAAAAAATAAAAACAAGAAATGCAATAGATAGCGTAATGAGGGCTGCAGAAATTAAAAAGGGATTTCGATAACAAGTAGCAAATTACGTGACAGAAAAATCAAAGATGGGATGAAATCTCCAACAGCAGCATACTTGGCGCGCCCGTTTTTTATATATATTATAATATTATAAATACATACATGTTATATATACATTTTTTTTATTGCTACAGCAGCACGTGTCATATGCTTGACTCGTTGATATAAGTATCATCCGTATCTTAGAACAGTTGATTAAAGTAATTGAAATTAATTTAAATATACTAAGTTTGCAATATAAATTCTACTTATAAACTTTTTATAACAATAATGTTATGAACTAAAGGTGTAGTAGAAAGAATCAGCGTAAAATCTTTCCGTTAAGAACACTGGTTGAATGGTGTAATAATAACGCGCAATGTTCAATCATATGATCGTTGTATTAATACGACTTAGCAACGAAAATTAATAATTCGATTTAAAAAAAACTCGCGGAAAACAGAACAGAATTAAATCGGACGTTCAACCGAAAAGATTGTACGCTCGCCGAATGAAGAGATTATTTATTAAATTAACGAGTCCGAATTCATTTACGTACTTACGCACTACAAAGGACAATATTATGTTAAATAATAACTTGTAATATTACTGTAACAAAATTCAAATTATTATAAAACTAGAATTTGTAATATAATTCTGTAATAAAATTTACATAGAGATATTATATATATAAGAAGCATCAAGATAACCATTCCTTCAATCTATTGTGTTAAGACATAGAGCCGTAATATATACAGGGTGTCCGGTAATAACCGCCCAAAATCTCGTAGGCTGGTAGAGCAGATTAAATTGAACAGAAAAGTCCTCTACCATTTTGCAAAATTCGTTAACGAGATATTAATTTTTGAAGATTGGCGAATAAACGCGTATCCGTCCGCCATACCGCTGAATGCAGGCACGCGGTGAGATACGACCGCCCCACTGCTCGTCAACTACCGGCTAGCTGGGCTAGCAACTACCAGCGATGGAGCGGTCGTATCTCGCCGCGCGCCTGTATTCAGCAGTAGGCGAAAGAATACGCGTTTATCGCCGATCTTCAAAAATTGTATCTCGCTAACGATTGCGAATTTTGCAAAATGGTAGAGGACTTTTCTGTTCAGTTTAATCTGCTCTACCAGCCTACGAGATATTGGGCGGTTATTACCGGACACCCTGTAACTGAGTCGACAAGGCACACAGGGGATA